TTATTATATATTATTAATATATGTAATTTATAAATATTCATATTCATTATAGTACAAACTATAAGCTTTAATGTATATTAGTATATATATTAGTGTACTTGTATATTAAGAAAATGGAGTTTGCGACTCTTACCCTTTTCCAAAAGCCATACAAATAAAATCAATAAAAAAAATATTAAAATATATTTTTTAATTTTATTAAAATTTCGTTTTTCATGACTTTTATATCACGTTTTTTTTTTAGATAAAAGAAATAATATTTGGGTCTTTTATATTAAAATTGATCTGTTACATTAGTTTATATAATACAATTATTTGTTTGGTCCAGATAGGGCCTTCAGGCTCAATGTATTAATAGACTCAGACCTAGAAAGAAGGGATTAGTAATCTTCTCAATCTGGTTTCTTGGGGGACCATATTTAGGGACAAGCGTATGAGATTTCAATCCTAGCGACTTTATGGGGCACTACATCATATTTCTTTTTGTCTTAGTGTAAAGGTATCACATTTCTGTGACAAATAAAAATGTTTCATACTTCATCCTTTCGAGACTCCCTATATTCGAGACAATGCCCGAATTTAGGCTGATCGGAATATCTTTAGAAGCTGTTGCTATAGAGATTAGTTTACTATTGTTCTTTATATTTCTCAGGTTATAACGTTTATATTTAAACAGATCGGTAAAAATAAATGTTTTTTTTTTTTCTGATTATATTTTATATAAGCAAATTTTGTTTTAGTATCATTGATGGAGGCCCCACAATAGGTTAGCAAGAAGTATAAGTAAAGGCTTTCTTGAGAATGAAGAGAGTTCAAAAGAGTCTTTTTATCTAGACTTTAGTGTATTTGTATCCTCAACTTTTAGATCATAATTAATATATTTTTCTGTATTTTAAAGTATATTNTAAACTTTTCTGAAATTCATAAACGTATTATTGAAAAATTTTTAAATATAAATATTTTCTAAATATTCTAGAATTTATAACTAATTTATATACACACACACATATATATATACTTACACATTTCTTCTCCAAGTATCCAAACTTCTGGTTTCGAGTGAAGTTCAATCAATACACTTGGCATACAAACTAAAAGTACTAATAAATCAGCAATACTTAAATTGATGAGGAATATATTTGTCGAATTTCTTAATTCTTTATTTTTAAACACTACTAAAGGTACCATTAAATTTCCTATAGTACCAAGTGTTAAGATTAAACCACAAACTATACTAGCGCACGTTCTTATGTATAATGGAAATCTTAAAGGTATATAATCTTCAGACCACCCGAAATTCTTTTGGCAATCGATAGTCCAGTTAGTTTCATTGATACAGTACCACAACGTGTAATTCATTCTGTTACAATCGTCAGCCATGTCATGTACATAAAAGCTAGAACTAGATTATCAACCCTCTTAACTTAACTACTGAGATGGAAGTGAAAACCTATCCTCAAAGTCAGAGGTTTTGTTAGTGGATAAAATGCGCACGCAGCTTTTACGTCATACTATATTTTCATTAATATATATATATATATAGTTTTTATTTATTTATATTTTGCGTTTTTATTGTCTTTATACTAAAGCACTGTTAATTGTTATGCGCTTAAAAACCGTTTCGCTTGAGGGTTGTTTGATTAATTAATTTGTAAAATTTGACCCAGTTTGTAACGACTTTTTAACGGAATTTTATTAACTAAATTATTATTATTATTATATATTATTAATATATGTAATTTATAAATATTCATATTCATTATAGTACAAACTATAAGCTTTAATGTATATTAGTATATATATTAGTGTACTTGTATATTAAGAAAATGGAGTTTGCGACTCTTACCCTTTTCCAAAAGCCATACAAATAAAATCAATAAAAAAAATATTAAAATATATTTTTTAATTTTATTAAAATTTCGTTTTTCATGACTTTTATATCACGTTTTTTTTTTAGATAAAAGAAATAATATTTGGGTCTTTTATATTAAAATTGATCTGTTACATTAGTTTATATAATACAATTATTTGTTTGGTCCAGATAGGGCCTTCAGGCTCAATGTATTAATAGACTCAGACCTAGAAAGAAGGGATTAGTAATCTTCTCAATCTGGTTTCTTGGGGGACCATATTTAGGGACAAGCGTATGAGATTTCAATCCTAGCGACTTTATGGGGCACTACATCATATTTCTTTTTGTCTTAGTGTAAAGGTATCACATTTCTGTGACAAATAAAAATGTTTCATACTTCATCCTTTCGAGACTCCCTATATTCGAGACAATGCCCGAATTTAGGCTGATCGGAATATCTTTAGAAGCTGTTGCTATAGAGATTAGTTTACTATTGTTCTTTATATTTCTCAGGTTATAACGTTTATATTTAAACAGATCGGTAAAAATAAATGTTTTTTTTTCTGATTATATTTTATATAAGCAAATTTTGTTTTAGTATCATTGATGGAGGCCCCACAATAGGTTAGCAAGAAGTATAAGTAAAGGCTTTCTTGAGAATGAAGAGAGTTCAAAAGAGTCTTTTTATCTAGACTTTAGTGTATTTGTATCCTCAACTTTTAGATCATAATTAATATATTTTTCTGTATTTTAAAGTATATTTAATAATGCCTTCTATTTCAAAAAATTTTAACCTTTTATTGTTAAAAAATTATTTTGACTTTATTAACATAAAATTTAATTTTAAAATTTTTATAGTAATAATTTTATTTATTATAATTATAGAATCACTTCCGATAAATCTCTCTTTTACATGTATTTGATAATTATATTAATAGTTATTCATAATTATCATTATTTAAATAATAGTAAAATAGTTTGTTTAATTATCACCAGATGGCAGCAATAAGTAAAAAGTAATTAACTTATTTATTTTAAAAAATATTTTTTAATATTATAGTATTAATAGATCATTTGCTAAACATAGTTATAAATATATAACTATGTTTAG